GGTATTACTGCTATATTTACTACTGAATTTACCATCACCGTCATTACTATTATTACTATAAGTACTGCAATTGCTACTTTTGTTACTACTATTACTTTTAATACTATTAATACTAGTTGAGGACTTTTTCCTTTTAGGAACTTTCTTGAAGAATTTTTTAAAAAATTTTTTAACTATTTTATCATTATCATCACCTCCCTCATCACTACTTACATCACTACTTGCACTACTGTCATACCCATTACCACTTCTAAAACTTACATTCAACAATTCCTCACTTTCATAAACACACTTGAATATCTCTTTACCTTCTATCAGAAGCTGTTTAATATTTGGCCGTTCAATAGGATTCTGGCACCAACATCGTTGCATCAATTCAACATAACTTTCTGGCATCTGTGGCAGAGGGGGTGGTCTATGTCCACGACATATGTCTATAACCAGATCAAGATCATGTGCTCTATCATCAAATGGCGGATGACCTGCAAATATCTCCCACATTAACATCCCAATAGCATATATGTCTGACTCTTTGTTTTTTGGTTTGCCATTTAATATTTCTGGTGCAATATATGGCATTATTCCATAGATACCATTGTATGTCTCCTCATTAGTTGGTCCACACAGGCCAAGGTCAGTAATGTAACAGGCACCTGATTGTTGCATCAATATATTTCCACTGTGTAGATCACAATGGACTAAGTCTTTCTCATGAATGTCATCCAGCGAATCTATCAAGTTGTAGAAAATGGTGATTCTATCTTTCAATGTCAAGCTGAAATGGTTCTTTTCTAAATAGTCTCGTAGATTTCCATCTAAAAGATAATTTATGACCATCATGTAATTTCCTGTTTTTGAACACCTTGTTATGCCATAACACTCAGCAATCATCTCTGATTGAAGTTTACTATAATTCATTGCCTGATAAAAAAAAATTTAAATACAAGAAAATAAGTTATAATAAATTGATTACAATACAGTGTGTAACAAAAAAGCCGGGTTTTTTTGTTTCTTAAAAATGGTTGTATGAAAATGATAAAAACCAGGAATCGAAGGTTTTGTTGATATTAATTTTATATGAAAAAAAAATTTTTTTTTTGATTGCCTTCAATGTTAAGCTACA